CGAAAAATAATTTTGTAATTAATCGATTCTAAAAAGACGTAATAAATTTCTATTATTAGTAAAATTACATAAATGAGTATTGAGTTTAGATTTATAAGATTTACCATGTCCAGTTCATTCTTGGAATACACATTATTAATAATGACAATTAATGTTGCAATCGTACTGATTCGGCTATGAGAACAAAACATATATGATGTATAAATTATAATTTTAACATATACATAATAAACTTTCACAATTATAAGCAATAAATATTTATAAAAATATATATTATTACCTGTTTTTTATACTATTTAAGTTAGGTAAATCCAATATATCTTTAAGCAGTGTAGGATTCTTTGCTTGCATGGCAAGCATAGAAAGATAAATATCTGCAATTAAAGCATAGGAGTGCTCTTTTTTCCGTGTTGATGTTTCAAAATCGGTGATCATCGTTTGAGATGACCTTTGAATAAATAATAGATGAAAATACTTTCGCGGATGATCAGAGCAAGAACTGCTAAATTTCAACATTTCATAATCAGATTTCTCTTTGTATACATTCAACGCGTTGGTCCATGCACTGAACCATACACTATAGTTAGCAGTCTTTAAACCATTACAAGATATCAATTTCTTCCACCCAGGTAAAAGTCTATAACATCCAGCAAATAAATATTTTAATCCTTTGAAAATATTTTATAGATATTTAGTACACACATACAATGTCTTTAACAAATAATTTATTAAACACGCGGACAAGATATAAAAACAATGATTAAATAGATCATACTTCCTAGTTTCAGGATCTGATAGATGCCATTCAAATTGTTCTTTGGCCATCTGCATACACAAGGGATTATTGATAAGACATCCCCATTTTGTGAGTTCTTGCTTTAAATATTTATTAAGAACATTGTTGGTTATGTTAGCTTCTGTTTGATTGTACATATCGTTCTCTGCCTTTTCAAATAAGCTTCCTATTTTTATTTTTATTTCCTATAATTTGGTAAAAAATATATTTTTCTATTTATTACATGTATTGTTCATATTACTTACACAAAGACAAATATAATATATGTATAAATGAAAAAATAATAACATTCTTATTTACTGAAACAATTTTATTTCCGGCGCGTATTTTAATTAGTTAATTTCTAAGATATTATGTCAGAATTATGAGATCGTTACTCTATATGTATTGACTTAATATCTAACATAATTTTATTGATATGTCTTATTATTGGCAATAAGTTTCTCTACCTTGAGATGTTCATCATGAGTTGTTGTAATTGCAAAGACACTGGATATACGTTCAAAAACTTTAATCATAGGATACCATGCTACATAATCCTTCTCTTGCTTTAAGTAGCTCGCGAGTTCCCAAAATATGGAGAAATCAAGTTTCTTTTCCATCGCAAGATGGAACGCATCATCGATGATTTGCGCTCGATTGATAACATGTATATTCTCGTATTTTTTGGATTTTAAATAACGCGCGATCATTCGCCAATTTTCGGTGTCATAATTGACGCGATAGTATCCTATTATTTAATAGATAAATTTTATCGATTATTTTTTTAACGTATCGGAATAATCAGACATCAGAAATATTTCGAATTTTATGTATCTAATTTTCCTCTGTTTTAAGTACGCATGCAGACTGTACTAGAAATTGGTAGTATATATATTTTTCAAGTTTCTTGTATATTATTAATTACGTAAACATTTTCCATCAATAATCAAATTAAAAAATAAATCTTCGAAATATTAAAGCGTACAGAATTGTATAAGCTTAAACTAAGATTTTAGTTACATAATTAATATTTTTATATATGCAAAGAACGTTTAATTTAAAATTTAAAGGTAATATTATAGAATATTTTAGAAAAATATAATTATGTTTATTATATGTAGAAAATAGTTTCACAATTTTTGTAAAAAAATGTAGGAATAAAAATATGTAATAAAACCAGATTTTTTATATAATAAGAGGATAGAGAGATATTAACTTTATTATTTAATATTTACCAGTTTGTAATATGTTGGCAATGAACCATTTATCTTTACTATCGTAGTTGATTTTCATCTCTGGATTCGACTGCGTTAAACAATTGAAACTTTGTAGCGAGATATTGACAAAATTGATGTTCGTTTCCTTAACATAGCTCACAGGTATAAAATATGGTTTCCGATCTAATTTGTCATTAATCTCTTTCGATATTTTTACAAGATTATTAGAATAATCTCGTTTCACGTTTACCACAGGGCAATACGTTTGTGTAATCCAAATATCCATTATCTGTTTTATGCTTAGATTATACAGTTTATTTTTTAATTTACCATCTATACCAGTCTTTATAAAACTCCATAGATCATCGGGAGTTGGCGAATTAAAGTTAGGAAATCTGTAAAATTTAACATTGCGGCAATTCACATTATACATCATTGATTTGCATTGAAAAATTAAAATAATTATTCGTTTCAACAACTGTGGCAAAAAATAAAATTTTGACAGCCATAATAAATGTAGTAATGCTAAACTTGCTAGATTTAATTTTTGGACGTTCTGTTAATTTTTTATTATTCTAACTTATATTTTACTTGATATTTTACTTAAAAATATATATCTTTTGTAGTTTTCTTTCACTACAAGTTAATATAAAATATATATATACAGAAATATTTAAATGAAATATTCTATTATGAATTTCAAATTATTAAAAATGACAATTTCAATACTGTAACATAATAATAAAAGAATATGTAGATAATTAAATTAAGGAACAGAATTATATATAGAATGCATAATATTTTTTTTCATTATTTGGCACAATTTATCAATAGCATCACTTCTGTAAGTGCATTATGTATTACTATTTCTATATTACGTATTCTTTTTCTTGTATATATACTATGGGATATGAAGTTATTTTATTACAATATCTCTTACCGAGTATTAAAGTATGTGTCTAAACCCATTAACAAGGAATTACGGGGAAGTGTACCATTCAACATGCGCCATATAGCGGGTCCTATAATGAAAACGTAGAATATAATTGTATTTATTTCAAATGAATTTACATATTACAGTATTCATAAATCCGTGAATATAATATACAAAGAAGTAGGTTCAAACTTTAGAAATTTCCGTTTCTTCTATTATAGCAATCTTTGATTAACGGTAAAGAAATATACAATCGAAACCTTTTAACCTCATTTTTGATATTTTTTGTTTAGCATATATGATCTTGTTTATTTTATTTACATACGTGTACATTTATTTTATTTATATATTAAATAAAATTTATTAAACACACAAAATTGTATACCTATGATACGAGAAAATGGAAAATGTGAACAAATTTCAGATATACTGCTTGTGTTTGTTGCAAAAGAGTTCATAGCGGAATAAGAGTTTAGATGAAGAGCTTCATGTTGAGTTTCAACTACCAACAAATTTGTGATGTTTTCAAAATCTGGATAGACCTGCAAACAGATTGAAGTGATCAATACGATTTAACGATATACACTAATGCATGCAAAATTATTTGTTATTTTAAAAATAACCTCGCTATTTTATATCATAAAAAATTGTAATATTTGTAATTTAAAGACTAACAGATGTAACAATTTAATGTTAAAAAATAGTATTAAAATTATTTAACAAATTCAGATATTGTAAGAAATTGAAAAACTCAAATTATATGTTAGCATTTCTTTCTTTTCTTAATGGATAAAACAGAAACTACTAAGAATTTTTTACATTGTCACAATAACCAAAAATATTATTTGTAATTGCATAAGACAATTAGTGTTGGAAATGTAAGATAACCTTTTTGATAATATGTGTCTCAAGGAATGTAATAAGTCCTTTATTTAATAACCGATAAGATGAGAGACAAAATGGAGTGAAGAGATTACCAAACCATTGATATATTATATCACGAGTTACTGAGCGCATTACTGTAATTTTATACGAAGCAGGATGTAACTCTTCATTGTAGATAATATCTGCTTCACTGGAAATTATTCAAAAACGATTATATCGAAATGTTTTATAAGCCTCCATAGTTGCATTGTATTTATGTAAATTAAATATGCACAGATATCAGAGAAAGAAACTTCAAATATTGACGAAGCACAATTTTAATAAGCATATGAATAGCTTAGTTAAATTTGGATGAACAAAAAATAGGGTTTTTTGTAACAATTATTAAAATACTTGTTAATTGTAATATGTTAATTAAACATAATTATTTTATAATTTTATTATGTATATTCTATATTTATTGGTTTTTTCTTTTCAAAAATAAAATAAATTTGGCAACTAAAATTTTTGATATATATGTTTATACAGGATGTCCCAGAATTACCGCACCACTTGCTAATGACAAATTCTTGGGATTATTTGGAAACGATTTTTCCTCAGTGAAAATGTTGAGAGAGATCATTATTTTTGCAAGTTTTTTCATCATATATCTTTGTGTGTAACTAATTCTTAAATTATAATTTTCTCTCACTCTCTATTAAAGTAAAATCTATTAAACTCTATCTGAAATTAACTGAAGAATATAGTTTTAACTCTTTATAAAGTTCAGTTTGCAAAAAGGCCTTCTTTTTGAATCGCTTATAACATGGAAATTATTAATGCCTCGATATTTTGGCTAAGCAAAAATCGTCTCTACATGATCTCAAGAATCTGTCATTAGCAGATGGTGCGGTAATTCTGGAACACCCCGTATATCTTTATAATATAAATATAAATAAATAATATATATAATATATGCCGTATATAAATATGTGCCATAAGCATATATATCTAACATTTTTAAATTCTTTGAATATAAAACATAAAAATTTCTAAATAATAAAATTAAAATCTTAATAATAAATTCTGTTATAAATTATTTTTTAATTAAATTAGTTCTAAACGCAGAAAAGTGCATATTATTTTTAAAATTTTAAATGCAAAAACGCAATATTGTATTTTGATAAATCATGATTATGATTATTTCTTGAATATGTGTATTACTTGTAAAAAATAAGTCCCCAAGTCTTTTCGATTCTTTTGTTTAAACTTGGAATAGCAACATAATCCACTTTTGGAATTTCTTTCAAGATCTTGAAATTGTTTCCTAAATACTCAGTTACATTTCCAGCGACATATTGAGCGAATGTCATGTGAGATTTCAAGTGCGGTCTACACCATGTATTGACCACAGTCTCAGTCGAATTAAGAACTTGGTCCAGACCGGACATTATAATTGCTACGTTATATATAGATATTGGGGGTGTCGTCTGGAACACTGTATACATCGTGAAATCGTCCACAGATTTGTATTCTTGTATCGGCATATTCGATAAAACGTTAAGTTCTTTATGATGTTGTATGGAAATATTGAAGGTGGCCCTTAATGTCGGCTCGTCCCAACACGGAAATAATTGTTGAGCACTTTTCGGCTGGATTAATATTGCGGATGTGAACCTATTTTAACGATACATTTTAGATAACGACAAATTTTCGGTGGTTATTAATATAATATTAGGAATTATAATATGTTAAGAAAATATTAAGAATTTTAAATTTAAAGTTTATTTCAACGCAACCGAAATGCAAATGAAGCATTTTTTATGCGTATTAATAAAATAAATAAGTATAATCAGATATCGATTTTATTATTATGTATATATTTTATGTATGTATCTATTTTATTATTGTTGCACAACAAAATTTTGTATATGACAGTATATGACGTAATATGAAATTTGTATATGACAGATTGTATATGACGGCGATAATGCACACGCGCTTTACGAAAAATAATAAAAAATAACTTTTACAAATATATATA